CACCAGGGGCTACCTGCCGGCCCGGGGGCGCCAGGACGGGACACCAGAGGCTACCTGCCGGCCCCGGGGGCATCTCCTGGAGCTGGAAGCAGGACGGCAGTAGACGCAGAGGGAATGAGTCAAGGCCGGCTTTCTGTCCTCTATAAGTAAGGGAGGCAGTGGGAGGAGCCTGGGACTCCGCCCTCCAATCAGAGGGGAGAGGTGGAGTCCAGCAAGGCTGGATGAAATTAGAGGTGATGAGCTTAACCAGGCAAAGCAGCAGGTGCAGAGGGGAGTCAGGTTGGGGGGGAGGGGCGGCTGGAGAAGCAAGGTTCTCCCTTCCCCCACCCCGACAAATGCCGGGATGGTCGCGGTGGAAACGGGCTACCATGGCCCTTCTTTACCTCCGCCAAGCCCACAGCAGCGCCAATGCTGGGCTTCAGGCATCAAAAAAGACCATACCCCTAACTCTGCCCAAAGAACACTGGGTCGGGTGTCCGAGGTGGGGCAGATCCTGGCCTAGCCACTTCACTGGGCACATAACCCCTGCCACCTGTTGTATTGGGGGAACCAATCGACAAGCATTTATGACGCACCCTCTGTATACTAGGCATGGATATAAAGATAAGTAGGAGCCAGCCTCTGCCCTCAAGAAGCTTCAGTTCTATTTGGGGACACAAAATAAACACAAATAAGCGCAGACTTCCTTAAACATCTACCATGTGCCAGGCCCTAGAGAGACAAAGAAAAGAGAAACAAGTCCCTGCCCCTAGTGGTGGGGGAGGGGACGATGTGCATAAAGTATGTACTCTATGTAAATGTGTCGTATTGTTGTCATTAATTCTCTAATACTTAACAACTTACTGTTTTCCTCCTACTGACCCTGTGAGGTCATACAAAATGACAGCAGAGGAAATAGAGTCACAGAGCTATAGACTCCAGACTCCCCCCACAGATCTTGGCCCCTCTGAAGCATAAAAGTAAGCCCCTAAGAACCATCACTGACCAAACGTTGGAAGTGACCTGGAATGCCATCTGGTCCAAACCCCTCATTTTACAGAGGAGTAAACTGAGGCATAGGGAGTTATTTGCCCAAGAACTGGAGATAGAAGGGACCCTGGATACCATCTAGCTCAACCCTCTCATGTTATGGGGGAGAAAAATGTAGCTCAGGAGGATAAGCGAGTGATTTGCGAGAGGAACAGAGGAAGTAATTGTCAGAGGCAGGAGTTGAACCCAGACCTTTTAACTCCAGAGCCAATGCCCTGGGCGCTGTACCACACTGTTCCCTTAGGATTCTTGTGAGTCCAAGCTGGGAATCAGATCAAGTTTGGCCTTGTAGTCTGGCTATGATACTCAGGAGACTGACCCAGTCCAGAGGCAACCCAAAAAAACAGACAGGTATGACTGAGGGAGGACTCCAGGGGCCTGGCACAAAGGGGGCTCCTAAGAACCAGACCCCTGGGCACTACAGGGTTCCCCCGCCCCAGGTATTCCCTGTCCCACCCCCATAAATCAATTAAACGCCTCAACAGGATATAAGGAGTGAAGCCTTCCAGACGTCACAGCTGCCTTTAGCCAGAGGGACAGACAGGTGGCCGTCCAAATGAACTCTCCTGAGTGGTATCACCACGGTCCAGAAATGCCCGGTTTAACAAAACCCAAGCTAACTGGACCTCGGCCGAGTTTCCCCGGGCTATTTCTGGGCACCAGCTGCCTTCTAGCCCAGGGTGTGCCTGCTCCCCAAGCCCATCCCTGCCCGACCCACACGTGCACTCAGGAGGGGACCCCGTGCAAGGCTCTGGGGGGAGCCCAAGGACTGTGAAGCCTGCTTCCCTCCCCTCGAGTGTCTTAGAATCCAATCACTGGGCCTCTTCCCCTTGCTTTAATTCGGTGTGAGCTTGGAAAAGTCCCTTTATTTCTGTAGGCCTCCAGCTTTCTCAACTCTAAGATGTTGGGGGACCTATCACTGGAAATCGTTGGGGTTGGAGATAATCTGACGGATGATGCTTTGAGCTCACAGTCCTGCCTGTGGCCCCTTTGCTCTGCCTCTGGCTCCTGGATTCTATTCCATGCCCCTGAAGCCTCCTCACCAGGGAAGATTCCCACACCCCTGCTGCTCTCTCCTCCTACTGGAGAGCTCCGCCATTTTCAGGAAGGGCCCAGGCCAGCCTTGCTCACACCTTCACTCCTCTGCTAACTTTTCCAACTTCTCCATGCTCCTGGAGGCTTACACACACACACACACACACACACACACACACACACACACACGCTCCTGGAGGCTTACACACACACACACACACACACACACACACACACACACACCCCTGGCCTGTACTCCCCCATTAGAATATAAGCTCCTTGAGGGCAGCCACTTTCTTTTTTGCCTTTATCTATATTCCCCACAGCTTAGCACAGTGCTTGGCACACACAGCACTGTATAAGTGCTTGGTGACTCCACTTTCCTCATCTATAAAATGGGAAAGGGGTAGTCAGTGGCCTCCAAGCTTCCCTCCAGCTCTAGACACATACTTTTATCTTATGGTCCTGGCTTTTATGCCTACTACATGGGTGACAATGGCCAAATCACTAAGCCTCAGTTTCCTCAACTGTAAAGTGAGGTGCTGAACTCGATCTCTAAGGTTCTTCCCAGTTTTAAAATCTATGACCCAATGACCTAGGGTCACCTCATTGCTTTGGGCCTCAGTTTCCTGATCTGTAAAATGGACTCAGTGACCTCAAAGGTCCCTTTCCGAGAAGTAGGTCTCCAGCCCAGTCCGAAGGTGAATAAGAGTCTCTCCCCTCCCAGCCCCACAACAGCTTCTCAATAACTTCCCTCTGAAGACCCCAGGGGACGAGGAGCTCATTTACCACCAGCCATGGTACGCTCCAAGGCAGTGACAGTCACCACCAATAGGCCATGCTATCAAGGGGAGAAAGCTTGGTTTTGAGCCTCTGCCCCATTCTAGCTAGGTGACTCTGGGTAAGTCACTTTACCTCTCCGTGGGCTAAGCAGCGATCCAAGGTGCTCCTCTGCGGCATGGAATTATCAGGACTAACCTGGCTGGGCCCCAATGAGGATGATGGGAAAAAGCACCTCCCTCCCATCTCTGCAGAGGTGGGGGGCTATGGGTGCAGAGTGCTGCATGTCCTCTCAGATTTGGTGACTGTGTAGAGTAACTTTTCTGAAGTGTATTTTGTTCCTTTTTTTGTTACAAGATATGGCTTGCTGGGGGAGAGGAATACTATTCAGAAAAGGAAAGAGATGAAAACAAGAGAAATCAATCATTTGTTTTTTCAGTCTTCTTAAAAGGAATCTCATACCTTCTGGGCGGGCCTTTGGTTTCTTGAGTCCGCCATCTTGCATGAGTTCAAAAGCGAATGAGACGTTGTGGACCTGCCCAAAAAAGAGTTGGTCATCATCATTAAAGACAGCACTTAACCTCTGGAGGACGTGGGCTAGAAACAGAATGTAAGCTTCCTGAGGGGAGAGACCAGCTCAGTGTTTATTGTCACATTCCCAGCACCCTCAAGCAAGCAATCAACATTTATTAAGTGCCACGTGCTGTGTGACACGCACACAGTAAGCATTTCATAAAAGCTAGGCAGACTGAATCAAATTCCACCTCCTCTTTCTCCCCCCAACAGAGAATCATGTTGAACGTCTGAGGACAAACTGCCACCACCTTTATCTTCACCTTCGGAGCCCCAGCCCAGCTCTCCCTGCCCCAGTGTCTGCCCTCCAGGGCCTTGCTTCTACTTTCAGGAAATTCATCCCCAACTGGAGCCAGAGGGTTGCCTCGCCTTGATGGGAGTCCAATGATTTCTTTTTTTTCCTATAAAATGATTTATTCTTGCAAAGTTCTATATAGCTTATAAAGTTCCTCTCTGCCCTTCCATGAGGTAAGTTGGGACAGGATGGTGGGTATCAGGAGGCCTGGGTGCAGTCCCAGCAAAGCCTGAGTCTCTGAGTGGAAAGGAGCTGCCCTTCCTTCAGGGACACATCTGCTGAACTGGGCTAGATGGGTGGGATGCAGAATGGACTGCAGGGACCCTGCCTCAGACCTCATTGCTGAGTGACCTTGGGCAAGTCACTTAATAATCACAGCAAGAGTTTACAGCACACTCAGAGGTCTGCAAAGCGCTTTATCAATACCTTGTCATCTCCTCACATAGAGACCCCTTCACCCAGTTGCCCTCCGGTGCAGATCCTCTTCCCTTCCCTCCTTCTTTGGGTCTCCCTGCCCCACTCGAGTCCATCCTCATGAAGGTCTGACTAGGTCACCCCCAATCAGTCAAGCCCAATGACTCCTCATCATTTCCAGAATCAAATATAAAATCCTATTTATCAATAAAAACCCTTCCTGACCTGATCCCTTCCCCCTTTCCAGCCTTCTTAGGCTGTCTATCTACGTGCTCTCTGGTCCAGTGGCATTGGCCCCCCTGACGCTCCTCCATGACCCTCCATCTCTGGACCTGTCCCCACACCTGGAAGGTTCTCCCTCCTCCTCTCCATCCTCTGGCTTCCCCAGAGACTCGGCCTTTCCTGGTCCCCATCCCCCACCGTCCCTCCTTTCCAATGACGCCTTGTATGTACTCAGTTTTTTGCATGGTGTCTTCTTTGTTAGACTGTGAGCTCCCTGAGGGCAGGGACCTGGCTTATGCTCTTCTTTATATGCCAGTGCTTAGTATGCAGTGCCTGGTACACAGTAGGTGCTACATAAATGCAACAAAATAGATGTAAAGGCACTTTTGACCCAGAAAGCACCCCCCTCCCCTCTCCCCTCCCCCCACCCCCTGGCCATAGGCTTTTTATTCTGGTGAGTCTGGGATTTCTAAAAGTGGGTAACACAAGGGTAAGGGAGACTTTCTAAGCCCTCTCTTCCAGATAATTAACATCATCAGGTCCTAAATGAGCTGGTGAGCTATTATTATGGGGGCATTAACTAGAGCCATGGAGTTGTGACCTGAGGACCTCAGTTTCCTCATCTGTAAAATGAAAATAATAATAGGACCTACCTCTTAGAGAGAAAAATATTAGTCTAGCGACTATGGGGTCTGAGGCATCCGACTACCTAACATTTGTTGTAGAGGCGCTTAAACCTTCCAACTAACCCATGAGGATTCAGAGAAACCCAACCTAAGACCCAATTGGCTGCCTGTTGGTCAGCCAAAGAAATTGGGGGAAAAGAAACTGGAGAAAAGCCATAAAGAATTCTGTAGTTGGAAAAGTTCTCAGAATGTTCAGCAATCAAAAACCCTTTGAACCATAATATTTTGATAGGTGAAGTGTAAAATGAATCAGAAACATATGGATAAAAATTTACTCACAATGCAGAATAACAACAGAAAAGCATTTGGAAAAAAAAAATCAGTGTTTAGTCCAACCCACAACATTTGAAAACAACTCGAGATGTCAGAAAGTCTATGATGGCCGAGTTGAACAGAAGGCCACGACTACACGCAGAGGTCAAACTTTCCCATGAGACTTCAGTAAACAAAACATAACAAAGGGACCACTGAACAAGGGGGATTCTCACAGACTGAGTCTTTGCACTGAGGTGACCTTGTAATTCACTTTGGAGAGAGGGAGAGGGAGAGAGAGAGAGAGAGAAGAGAGTCAGCCTCAAAGCCAGGAAGATGGAGCTACAAGCTCTGCCTCTTGACACATTCTGGCTGTGTGGCCTTAGCTAAATCACTTAACTCTAAGCCTCAGACAACTCTCTAAGACAGGAAATTTTTCTCACTTAACTAACCTGATTTTCATCTCTATGCTCCAATCTACTTATCCATCCCTAACTTCTCTGGGACTTTCAGTCCCTAACAGAACTCATTATCATTCCCCCTCAACATCCCACACCCACTTCCCAATTATGGTGGAGGGCATCACCATCCTCCCATCCCTCAGGCTCCCAACCTTGGAATCATCCTGGACTCTCTCACCAGGAAAGTCCAAGCTGCTTCCTGTCAATTTCACCTCTGCAACATTTCTTGTTGATTTCACCTCTGCAACATCTCTAGTCATTTTCACCTCTGCAGCATCTCTCATTGATTTCACCTCTGCAGCATCTCTTGTTGATTTCACCTCTACAACATCTCTAGTCATTTTCACCTCTGCAGCATCTCTCCTATATGCCCCCTTCTCTCCTCTAAGGCTGCCACCACCCTGGTGCAGGTTCTCATCCCCTCCTGCCTGGACTATTGCAATAGCCCATGCATGGGTCTTCCTGCCTCAAGTCTCTCCCCACTCCAGTCCATCTTCCATTCAGCCACTAAAGTGATCTTCCTAAAGCTCAGGTTTGACTATGCCACCCCCTACTCAATAAGCTCAGAGGCTCCCTCTTGCCTCCAGAAGCAAACAGGAAATGCTGTTTAGCATCCAAAGCCCTACATAACCTGGCCCCTCTCCTCCCTTTCCGGTCTTCTTGTATCTCATTCCTTGTGATTCTTACTCTCTAACCCAATGACTCCAGCCTCCTGGCTGGTCCATGAACAAGACCCTCCATCTCTCTCTCCATCCCCCATGCCTGTAATGCTCTCTCTCCTTCTGACTACTGACCTCCCTGGCTTTCTTTATGTCCCAAATAAAATCCTGTCTTCTTCAGGAGGTCTCCACCAACCCCTCTTAATTCTAGTGCCTTCCCTCTGGTAATTATTTCCTATTTATCCCGTATATAGCTTACTTTGTGCATATTGTAAGCTCCTTGAGAGCAAGGACTATGTATTGACTTTCTTTGTATCCTCAGGGCTTAGTACAGTGCCTGGCATATAGGAGGTGCTTAATAAACATTTACTGATTGACTGACTTAGAAAAAGTGCCAACCTGCATTGGTTGAGGGCCTTTCCTCACCTGGAAGTTCCCTATACTAATAAAATCACTAAGAAATCAGATCAATTTTCTAAGGAAGTCTAATAATTCATATCTTCTGATTCTCAGACTTTCACCTTCGGAGATTAGCCTCCCTCCCATCTACACCCTATTATAAAACCTCAAATAGTCCGAGAACACCATCTCCCCCATCACATTCTACCTGCTCTATTGTTCTACTTTTTCTTAGAGGTGGTGCAGCGGAGAAAGTGCTAGAGACCTGAGTTCAAATTTGGCCTCAGGACACTTATTAGCTGTGAGATGTTGGGCAAGTAACTGAACTTTTCTCAGCCTCAGTTTCCTCATCTATAAAATGGAAATAATAATGGCACCCCCCTCCCAGGGCTGTGGCAAGGCTTCAATGACGTTTGTAATGACCTTTGCAAACCTTAAAGTGCTTTGGAAATGCTATTCTTATTCTGTAATAAATTTTGCAGGAGGCAGTTTGGCAAAATGAGGAGAGACAGTGAGTCTCTAAGTCTCTGACCAAGGACTCATGATGAGTCCTCTGAGAAAGGGGGGATGGACTCAGGCTGCTGATGAAGGCCAGTGGACACAGCCAATGCAGGAATTTGTTTTGCTTGATTATTTAGATTTGTAAAGAGTTTTGTTTTTCTTACTTTCTCAGCTGGGGGGAGGGGAAGGAAGAGGGAAAGAAGATGAACCTGAAAATAAAATTAAATTGGCTTGTTTGTTTTTTTAGAAGATGTCTCTGATACATTCTGCCTCTGTGACCCTGGACAAATCACTTAAATTTCTCAGGAGTCCCAGGCAATGTTCTAAGACTGTAGGTCTAATGAAATCACAGGTCTAGTCCTCCTTCCTACCTAACTCACTCACTGCCACTGGACTGTAAACTCCCTGAAGGCAGGGACTATGTGACCTTTCAATTCTGTGCCCAAGTACCTGACACGGTGTCCCGACAGCAGATGCTCATCAAATGTCTGTCCAGTTAAATTTCAGTCTCTCTTTACTAGCTAGGATCTCAGCCCCTCTCCATGTATGTTTATTTTTTTAACAGTTTTACTTAAAACAATCTTCTCTCCAAAACAACGCCTCTGGCACTTGCCCTGTTGAAGCAGAGACATGGCAAGAACTCACAACCAAACACATTTTCTTCCCACTTAGAGGAGACATGAGAATATGGTCGACAAGACCTCCCAACCTTTCCTGAGTCTGGCAGGGGGCCCCTTCCTGGACTCTGCTGACTCCCTCCCACCCTCGCTGGGCTGCACCTGCCGCAGATGTCCTCGGTTAGCCTCAGCAGCCCGGAAGCTCAGGGCAGTGAGCCAGGAGCCGGTAAACAGAATGAGGCCCATACACCGGTTATACCCTTGTCTGGCTACTGGCACTGGCTCACATTCTCTGCCCACCCCCGAATCATCATGGAGATGGACGTCTTTCAGATGACCTTCGGGAGGGCCACGAGTGAAGTTTCCAATGACCACAGTTTCAAGGTTAACTCCTGAATCATTAGGGGCATAACCATAAGATGATGACACGCTCCTCCCAGGGTCCTTCCCCAAGCCATCACAAAGCCCGCAGCTCCAACACCCAGACATGCATGTAGCTGTGTATGTACCTTCTGGTCAAAATTCTCCGGAGTTAAATGGAAGTTATGGAGAGGAACAAAGTATCCTTCCAGCAGGCCCATGAGCAAAACCAGGTACACGCCATCTGCAAACTGAAGAAAACCAGCATCGGTGATGTTCCTGGATAGGTCCTGCCTCTGGTTCACTCAAGCAGAGAAAAGCCACGTTCCAGCCTAGAATGCCTGCCTCTGGGGCCATGCTCCCTCCATCAGGGCTGCCACGCTCCTTCTGCCATGGCCAGAGAGACACCTTCTCCTGGCCCCAAGGAGGGAGAAGACATCCTCACTTTTCAAACCATAGGAATAATTCTGGGTGGATGAAGCCTTGTGTCCCCAAGATGTAAAGGCATGGTCACTCTCATCCCTGGTCCTTAACCACTGTAAACTGAGCTCTGCGAGGGATCACTCACCCTTTTTGCAGAGGGAGAAACCAAGGCAAACCAAGGCTGGGGAACCACACAAAACCACAGGATATTGGAAGCACTGTGGCCCACAGAGGACTGGGTTCAAATCCCACCTTTGATCCTTACTATCCAGGTGACCCTGGGTAAGTCATTTAAAATCCCTAGGCTTCAGACCCCTCCCAGCTCCAGGAGAGCCATGACTCTATGAGATCATCCTGGTTCTGCCACCTTCTAGCTATGACCTTAGACAAATCGCTGGACTTCAGTGTCCTTGTTTGTAAAACTGGGGGAGGGTGGGGTGAGGGTCCCTTCCAGGCTGAGGCCTATGATCTTATGATGCTCCCAGCTCTTTCACTTTCCATCTGTGTGACCTTAGCAAAATCATGTAACCTCCATCCACCTCTGTTTCCTCTTCCGTAAAATGAGAGGGATGGACTAAATAACCTGTAAGGTCCCTTCCTATATCCCGGCTCTGTCACAGATGTGTGACTTTAGGAAAGGCCCTTCCCTCTCTGTGCCTCAGTTTCCTCCTCTGTCAAGGGAGGGCACCAACCAGACGGCCTCTAAGATCCCTTCCATTGGAAATGTCCAACTCCCTCATTTTACAATTCAAATACATCAGGCCCAGAAAAGGGCAGGGTTTGGGGGAGGTCCCACAGTCAATGGGCAGGAAAACAGGAAAGAGATTCCACGCTTCCTAGACTTTCTAGGTGCCATTTTGAAAGTATAAAGTATGGACTAAGGAAAGAACAATGGGGGTCCCCAGGGTCTAGAAAATACCAAGATGACAGGAGAGGAAATGAGGATACGCAGAGACGCTCTTAAAGAAGATGCCAGAGACCCCAGAGGGTCGGAAGGAGTGAGTAGCCACCAGCTGACTTACAAACAGGCAAACAGATGGAAACAATGAAGGGAGCCCAGGGAGAGGGGAGGATGGACTGGCCCATTCCTGGAGGGGCAGCTCAGAAGGAGGAAGAAGTAAGGGAGAAATCGCAAATATACTTCATCCCCAAACCACCTCCACAGAACAAGAGCACACGATGTCCCACAGGAGCTTTTCTATTCTTTTTCTAATTAACGTTCAGAACAGCCAGATGCTCAGTGTCACAGTGGATAGAGCGCTGTGCCTGGAGTCAAGAAGACCCAACTGCAAATCCCACCTCAGATATTTACTAGCTGCATGACCCTGGGCAAGTCACTTAACCTATGTTTGCCTCTATTTCTTCATCTATAAAATGGGGATGATACACCTAACCCCCAGGGTTGTTGGGAAGATCAATTGAAGTAAATATATAATTATATTTTAATATAATTATAATATAATAATATATTATAAACGTGATTTGTATATTTTATATATTTCTACATTAATATATAATATACATTTAATACATACTTATAATATAAACATGATTTATATTTTTATATAATTCTATATTAATACATAATATACATTTAATATCCATAAAGACCCTCAATCAATGCAGGTTGGCAGCTTTCTTAGTCAGTCAGTAGCTATTTACTGAATGCCTGCTATGTGCCAGGCACTGTGCTGAGAAAGGCAACAGGCCAATCCCTGTCCTCAAGGAGCTCATAATCTAATGGGAGAGACAACATATAAACAAATACATACAAAGTAGCTCTATACAGAATAAGTAGGAAATTTAACAAAGGGAAGACAGTGGAAGTAAGAGAGGTCAGGGAAGGCTTCCTGTAGGAGATGGGATTCTAGGTGGGACTCAGAGAAAGCCAGAGTGGAGGAGGGAGGGCATGCCAGGCAGGCGGGACGGCCAGAGAAAACGTCCAGAGCTGAGAGATGGACAGTCAGGAGGAGGCCAGTGTCACTAGATTAAAGATCATGTGTTAGGGAGCGAGGTGTCAGAAAACTGGAAATGTGGGAGGGGGCCAGGTCTGTATTTGCCTGCAGAGACAACACGGAGCCACTGGGATTTACTGAGTGGGGACAACAGGGCAGGACCTCAGTTAAAGTCCATTTTTACATCTGCAGGCACAGTGGGTAAGAGCTCCGAGGACATCCATTCAAATCGCAGCTCTTCACTCACCAGCAATGGAACTTTGAGCCAGTCCCTTCACGTGCCTCAGTTTCCTCATCTGTACAATGGACTCAATGACCTCTAACATCCGGCTCCAGGTCTCTGACTCTGTGAATTCTTTTGCTTTCATTGTTGCTGACCAGTCCCTAAGGACCTCCAGTGACCCTGGGTAAGCAGGAGCCTCAGTTTCCTCGTCTGTCCCACGAGAGGCCGGGCACTAGGTTCTATCTCTGGATATTCCTTCCAGCACCTCTCACAAGCCGAAATATTGGTGCATTCCGCGCCACCTGACCAATTCCACCCCTTAATGTACTAAGAGTGACTCGGCATCTCAGCAAAAGGCTTTCTAATAAGCATCGGTTTTACCTTTACGAAAAGAGAGAAATAAAAGCCTAGAGATTCACGAAACTGAGGGTGGCTTTCCCGGCTGGGCTCCTCAGCACTTAATTAAGTCCTGGCAGATTCAGGCCATAACAGAGTAGGGGGATCTGAGACCCCAGGCTGCTCCAATTACAAACTGCTCCAATTTCAAGGTCCTTTGAAGGCTTCCCAACAATCCTAAGAGGATACTGTTATTCCCATTTTGCAGATGAGAAAACTGAGGCTCTACGATCATAAACAGCCTTTAGATAGGCTTTATGTAGACTGGATCCCAACAACCATCCCGTGGGTGAGGCAGAGTGAGCAGAGGCCGGCTCCAGAGCCAGAATGACCTGGGTTTGGGTCCTGCCTCTGACAGAAACTGGTTCTGTGACCCTGGGCAAGTCAGAGGAAAGCAAAGCTATCATGCCTTTTTTTTTTTTTTTTTTTTAATTGAGGAGGAAAATGAGGCTCAGGGAGCTTACGGCTAATCTATTCCCCAGCAGCAGAGCTGGGCCTCCAAGCGCTTGTCTCCTGGGTTCCAAATCGAACACTTCTTCTTTTGTTTCTTCGGTATTTTGAATTTACTAATCAGCAGCAAACCAATGCTTCTTATTTTAAAATCAAATATTAATACATTCGCTTCACCTGCATTTGTTTCATGGGGTAGTCTTCCACTATGCTTCTCCTAGAGAGCAAACCCTTAGTGCAAAGAAAGGGGAAAAACCCAATGAAACTAACCAGCATATTGGGAAAAGTCTGACAGGGTATACTGTATTCTAAGCCCACAGCCCCCTACTCTTCAAGGGCTGGGAAGTACCGTCTAAAATCTCATGAAACACAAACATTTCAACAGACAAAGGAGACCCCAAAGAAGAGCATGATGGAAGAAATTGTAGATTTTGGCCACATAGTAGGGTTTGTTTTTTTAAGTTAAAATGTGTCCACTACATTTAACAGGGAATGGGGGTCGGTCCTATGATTTCACTGGTGAACTCCTGGTGTGGAAACTCGCTCCCCAGATGCAGGCTGCCATCTACTCTGCACCATTCAGTCTTAAAGAGTTCCAGGAGTCAGTCACTGGCCCAGAATCCCCCAGCTAGAATGTGTCAGAGGCAGAACTTGAATCCAGATCGTCCTGAGCCCAAGGCCAGTTCCCTTTCTACTCTGCCCGAACGGCTCTCAAAGATTTTCAAAGGAAGGAACCAGGGGCCCTGTTTGTGCCCCATTCCGAGTCTCTCTGGTTCCTCCAGCAGGCGTTCTCTTCACCGGCCATTGCTCAGCCCAGGCAGAAGGCTGGCTATCCCTCTCGTCCTGGTGCCCAGATCCTTTGCCGTGCCCTCAAGGACCACTTCCCATATGCTTGCCAGTCTCCACACCCCACCCAGGGCTCAATGCAATCACAGCCATTGGCTGGGGCAGAGAATATTCTACATTAGCAGCTAGGTTAATGCAAAAACCCCTAGCCTTTATTTCTGCAGCCAGGGGTCCATCCCCCATTGGCCCGAGGCTAACTTCAGTTCGTTCACTCCACAAATCCTGAGGGAAGGCCCACTGGGCAGTGTTAGGTGTTAGGCCAGCCTTCCTTCACTGAGAAAGGGGGTGATGACAATGAACACATTCACCGAGGCTCCAAGGCTACCTCATGGGTTCCCATGGTGGATCCCCATAGAAACCCCTTGAGGCAGGCACTACCGGAGCCCCCTTTTACAGATGAGGAAACTGAGGCTCAGAGCTGGGTGTGACCTTGCCCAACGTCCCTCCATCAGCAGAGACAGGATTCAAACCTGTCACGTAATCATGGGATGTAGGGCTGGAGAGATGACCCACCCTGATTAACCATTCACCAATCGACTGACCATTATCCTCCCGACAAATTATTAACCTTCATTTTAAGAGGCAGCAAGGGAGGCTTACTAACAAAGAGACTGTGTGAAGGTAGATAAATGTTCACAGGCGGCTGGACGCTCTCCTTACTGGAAAGGGGTGACGGCCGTGGCCCGGGAACGACGCTGATCACTGAGGGGTTTAAGCGGGAGCGTCTCAGCCCAAAGCCGAGGAAGTCACCTATCCCACGACTGCCCGGGAATCGATTTGCCACCTTCACGTGGCTGAAGAGGGCTTGGAAATAGACCCGTCTCAGGCTTCCTTCCGGCCCAAAGGAACAGAGGGGCCGCTATTATCATAAGGGCTTGGCTTGGGTATTTTGAAGGATGTTAGGGACGGGGACTGGAGCTGCGATTCTGTTTATTTAGGGGGCTCCCAGGTGAGAAAACTCCCTCCACCGGTGCAAGGTAGCACTCCTCTCTAAAGGACCCTCTCAGAAAGCTGCTTAGACCACCCTAAGGTTAAGGGTCACACAACCAGCAGAGAGGGGGCAAAGTAGGACTGCCCCCCACCTCCCTGGCCCCAAAGTCAGCTCTCTATCAACTAGGACACAGCTGCCCCTCTTCAAAACAGTTTAAAACGCAGTTACAAATGGCAAGACAGATGTAGATTCTGACCCAACCAATCACCAAGCCTTTGAAAGCACTCACCACAGAGAGAGGGACACGCTGGTGCCAGGGCGGGGGGAGACGGACAAGTCTGATCCCTTATTCTGCAGACATTGAGGACACTGAGGCTCCAAGCTGACTGGGGCTCCACCAGGCGGCTGGCAGCAGGGCCACGCCTTGAACCTGGGTCTCCTGCCCCGGCTGCTGTCTATCAGGACTCCCCACCCCTGCCCAGCCGAAGCCTCCTGCCGCCCCATGCGGCCTCCCCACAAGGCCTCAGGAAGCACGCCCAAGGGGCCAGTCTCACCTGCGACTCCAGCTCTGTCACCTCCAAGTTCAGCTTATTAAGGTGTTTGTTCACGAATGTGATAAGAGACTACAGAGAGAAGAACACAGAGACCGAGGGGTTAATGACGACCAGCCGGGCCCCCACAGGCCCAGTGGGGACGGCTCTGGGCACTAAAAAAAGAAACAAACTCTGAAAGTTAGAATCTAATGAAACAAGCTGATACTTCAATGGGATGGGTGCGTCCATCACCGGAGGGCGGGAAATACAGGAATATACAATGACATCCCTTGTGTGATGGGGAGCTCACCACCACTTGAGACAGCCTGGTCCATTTTTTTTTTTTTTCAAACTGTTCTAATCGAGATTAGTCTTCTAATGGGGAGGAAACCCAGACCATTCTAACCTGCTCCGGCCCCTTTTATGCATTTGCTTTCTTTTCCATTCCTTTGAATACGTGAAGGCACAGAATCACGCCTGGGATCCTGGAGGGCTGGGAAGGCCACCTTTTACAGATGAGGAAACTGAGGCCTAACACAGTCCCTCAATAATGATATGATAAGTACTGGTGAAGGACAGACCCCCACAACAAAATCCAGGATCCAATAATTAAAACCCTCTGACTCATCAGGAGCCTTCTTGCACAGTGGGGATTTCAGAAGATCTGAAATCACCTCCCGGCCCACCCCGCACCCCCCTCCACTCTAAGGTCCCCATCCTTCTGCAGACAGGCGCAGACGGATGAAAGGTCCCAGACAAAGGAGCAGCTCCAGCACAGGCCAGAGTCACCAGCTGCGCATTTCTCAGAGACACCCAGCAGCGGACCCAGAGTCCTCCACTCATCCTGCTTCGCCTGAATAAAGACATAGAGATTGAATGTATTTCTATGCCCCACCAGGGATGGGTTTCAATGTCTTTAACAATAAAAAAGTTTTTTTAAAAATTCAGGCCAGATGCTCCTGGAGGCTGCTCAGCTCCTAGCACTCCCGACTTCAAGAGAAGGAAGTTCACGCGGTCTGGTTTTTTGTTCCCCATTCGGGGCCTTGACATCTGCATGAGCTGATGAGGCCCTTCAAGGCCATTTCTCCTTTGTACGCCTGCCTGGAAGAAAATGGGCTCAATTTCCTCTCCAGACCCACTCTGACAGGCAAGCTCGGAGAAAGGTTTCATATAGGACTTAGATGTTCATCAGAAATAGCAAGGTCCAGCAGGCCTACGTGCTTAAAAAAACAAGGGAGAGAGGAAAAGGCTTGAATCTGAATGAGCTTCCACAGAACAGCGCTGGCTGGTGCAGGCCAGGAGGTCCCCGGGGAGCAGAAAGAGCCGACTTCTACGTCACAGCTCCCTTCCTGACTAATTATATCTCAATGTGAGCCGCAAAGACGCTCTAGATTTCAAGCATCAGCCGCCTCCTTGGCAGCAGGGTCACCTTCCTGCCATCGGAGCCCACAGCCAGAGTGGACCCCAGCTTACCTTCTTCACCACGCTGAGCTTATCGGGGGCGTGGTCAAAGAGCGTGTCGAAGGCGTCTCGTTCTGTGGGCACACGGAATGAGAGGCGCGTTAGACAAGAGAGAGCCGGGGATGATGGAGAGAACCGGCACCCGGACCACGCTGGAGCCAGCCCAGAGATGGCCTCATTGCCAGGCCGGAAGGAAGCCCTGAGGGCAGGCACTTTCCTTTCTGTCTTTGTATCCCTGCACTGAGCATCAGCCTGGCATGAGACTAGAGACTGGACTTGTGTTTTCATTGGTATAAGGAACCTTCAGGGGAGGAACTCGGGGGCCACTGAGGCCAACCCTTTATTTGACAGACAGGGAAGCCAAGACTCAGGAAAGTGTAGTGATGAGGCTCCCAGTTCTAGAGTTGGAAGGGCCCTCCAAACCATTTACTCCTACCCTTTCATTTCACAGATGAGGAAACTGAGGCTCAGAGTTTAAGTGACTTGTCCAGGGCCACACAGCTAGTAAGTGTCTGAGTCAGAATTTGAACTCGGGTCTTCCTGACTCTTCTGTATTACTGTACTACAATACAGAGTTTAAACTATTTCAACAGGATCATTCCATGATCTTTTTTAAAAAAAGAAATTCGAACTGTTCTCAAACAAAATGAATGCTTCAGAATTTGGCTTTAAAAAACCCTACGAACTACGGCAGCCTGCCTCCTATCCCCAACAGTCTAAGCAAGGCCATGGCCACCTCTCAAGGACAGGTCACATCTCTTAAGGGGCTGGCTTCACATGTATTTGTTGGCATGTTGTCCCCGGTTGGACTGTAAGCCGCTTGAGGGCAGGGACCATCTTTTGTCTCTTTTTGTATCCCCAGAGCTTAGCCCATATGAGCCTGGCACATAGTAGGCACTTAATAAACGCTCACTGAATTAAACTGGATTGAATTAAGGTACAGATAGGTGGAGAAGCTTTTAGAAGATGGGACTTGGAGATTCAAGTTCAAATCAGGTCTCAGACGCTTACTAGCTGTGTGACTCTGGGCAAGTCACTTTATCTCTGTCTGCCTCAATTTCCTCATCTGTAAAATGAGGATAATAATAGTACCTACCTCCTAGGGCGCTCGTGGAGATTAAATGAGATCATATTTGTAAAGTGCTTTACGAATGTTAAGGCCCTACAGAGATGTTAGCTACTATCATTGCTATGACTAACGCTATTATTCTTATTACTATTACTGTTGCTACCATGAAGGCACCATGCAAAGTCGGCCTCTCAATTTCCCCGCAGCACTGAGATTCTTCACCTCGGGTCCACAAAAGCCGTTTCAGGGGATCGGGGAACTTCTTTGTTGGGGGATTTTGGTAAACAAGTATTTTTATAACTGTATCTCACTACAACTGCTTCTTTTTGTAATTTCCTGCATTTTATTTTGTGCATTTAAAACCTGACTCTGCAAAGGGCCCTCGAGGCTTCACCAGACGGGCCCCCAGAGGGCTCCAGGGCACAAACAAGGTTCAACCCCCCGATTTAGGGCACTCAGTAAGCTGGCCTCAATGCCCAAAGTGTGATCTGGAAGGGAAGCCTAAGAATCGCTGGACCTAGAACTCCCAACCTCCTCCCAGCTGGGGTGGGGGTGGGTGGCCAGTGAACAGGGACAAAAGCACAGTGGGGTCCAACCTAGCTCTGGGGGGTAGGGAGCAGAGATGCCATCTTTCTGCCTCCCCACGCTCCCCTCCCAAGTCTCCCTCCGGCCACAGAAGGGGTGCAGGGCCCACCCACCTGCCAGACAGCCCAATTTCCAGGGGTAGCTGAGACGGCAACCAGGAAGTGTTGCCATGGTGACCCCACATCATGATCCCTCACTCCCTGAAGATGCTTTTTCCTATTAAGAGAAGAAGCTCTTCATGGGCCGCTGCTGGAGGAGTCTCTGGAGACCTCAACCTGGTCACCTGACAGGCTGAGTGGGAAGTGGCCGAGGTTCTTAGCCTCCCTCTGACTCAGTCAAGAGGGCACTGAGGAACCCCGAAAAGGGGAAATTTATCGTACCAATACACGGATGCTCCTGACACTCAACAAGTAGATCACAGGATCCCAGATCAAGAGGTAGATTTTTATTTTACAATGGGGGAAACTGAGGGCCAGAAGGCCAACGACTTGCCCAGGGTCACACAAGTGGAACGCACCAGAGACAGGATCTGAACCCAGGTCCTCTGATTCCAGATCTCCTAGCATGTCTGAGAAGAGCTGCAATCTACAAAGATGGATGGCAGACCCAGACCAGCACACAGAATTACTCCCTTCTCCCAAACACAAGGCAGCTTTGGCTTTCGCTGTTCCCAGGGAGGGTGGAAGGAGAAGGGAGACTCCATGGTCCCTGGCACCTGACTCCCCCTCCCAATCTAGCGCCTCCTCTTCTAATGCCTCTATGCCTGTTTATGCACCTAATTATTGGTACGCTGTTCCCTCCATCGGAATGGCTGCCCCCCGATGGCAAGGGGTGAGTTCTCTTTTTCTTTGTATCCATAGTCCTCAGCCTAGCACCTGATTCATAGCAGATACTTAGTAAGTGCTGGCTGATTGACTGGTCAACAGATCTGCTGTTGACACATTTCTCAGGCACAGTATCCAACATCAAGGCAGACTTACCATAAGAAGAGAGACAGCTATCGACAGTGTCTCACTTTCGTTGTTTTTTAAAATCCTTTTTCCTTTTTGGGCAATTATCCATCTGCCCTTCTCCTCCCCCCTGCACCTGAGCTGTTCTGGAAAGCCCACACCCCCCAGATGCCAGCCTCGATCCCCTCTGATGCCGGGAGCCCAGCTCTGACAGCCTGCCACTGGACCCAGGGCAAAGCCTTTCAAGCCCTGCGCCCTGGCCCCAGCCGCTGGGGTGACCCAGGCAGGGCTGGCCAGTCAGGTAAAAACTAAGCTCTGTAATGGCAAGAGAGGAAAAGAAAGGGAAAAACATCCCGAGCAGCCACAAACACCTTCCCTTCCCTTGCTGGAATAACCACAGTAACTCCCCCCAACCCTACCCTCTGCCTCTCAGCTCCTGGTTTTCCCATGGCAGAGAATGGAGAATGACTTCTAGAAATCAGAGCCAAACCCAAGAACCCTGGTTTTTTGATCAGCTTTAGAATACAAAGGAGAAAATTATCTTAAACACGAAAATTACATTCAATCTCATATTCCAGGGAAACTGGCTGATTGGATCAGCGCACTCTCTTTTCTGGGTGGCATTCAGTGCTCTCTACCTGCCTTCACCTTCTCTGAATGACCCTCCTCTCCTATATAGACCCTAATTCACCCTCTCCCCATCTCTTCGCTAGGCTGCAGCTGAGAAGCCCAATGAAAGCCGGGATGTTTGCCCAATTTCCCAGTGTCCACTGCGGTCCATTCTCATGGGCCAAACATGGCCATGACTTCCCTTTTCCTAGCTCCTAGCCAAGATTTCACATCCTGAGAGAAAGAATACCCAGAATACAAGACCACCAGGCTCCCCTCCAGTAGGAATAAGACAGGTCCAATGTCCATCAGCTTGGTAAGAGAATTTAACAGCTGGGGGTGCCACAGCACACAGGGTTCAAAACCTAGAGGCAGAAAGACCTGAATTCAAATCCAGCTTTAGATGCTGACTAGCTGGGTGACCCTGGGCAAGTCACTTCACCTCTATCTGCCTCAGTTTCCTCATCTACAAAATGAAGACACTAATAGCACCTACCTCCCAGGGTGGTTGGGAGAATCAAATGAGATAGTTGTAAAGTGCTTACTTAGCACAATACCCAGCACATAGTAGGTGCTATATAAATGCTAGCTATTATTCATTATCATCATTATCATTATTAATGTGTTGATTTCCCCAGTTACTTACCAAATCTTCCCATCATCATCCTGCAAATGAAAACAGGAAAAGGACCCTCTATCAGAGCAGGTTCATTTAAGGAGGTAGAGAATTCTTAAGGAGACAAAAAGCAGGTGAATAGAGGCACATTGACACAGTTACTGATGGTTTTGGTTATAGAATAAGTCATATAACTAACTGTTCATCACAGCCTTTTATCCCCATTCTATCCTCCTTATAAAAAGCAAGTATTCTTCACCTGTGGTAGAGGATTTTTTTTAAAATGTTGATAACTGTATTTCTTTTTTTGTTTAATTTATTTAGTATTTTAGTTTTCCCTGGTTACATGTAAAAACAATTTTTAACATTCGTTTTTTTTTTCCAGCCAAAGACAAGGTTTATTAAAGATCCGCCATATTAGCCAGACTCTTAAGGAATCTGAGCATCTGTGAGTTACTGGCTAGATTGTAAAGATCTGAGCAGTAGCTAGATTATATGAATCTGAGCCATTATTTTTTTTGGGGGGTAGGGGTGAGGCAATTGGGGTTAAGTGACTTGCCCAGAGTCACATAGCTATATATAGTGTAATGCGTCTTGAGGCCATATTTGAACTCGGTCCTCCTGACTCCAGGGCTGGTGCTCTATCCACTGCGCCGCCTAGCTGCCCTAACATTCGTTTTTAAAATGTTTGAGTTCCTAATTTTCTCCCTTCCTTCCTCCTCACCCCCCTCATTGAGAAGGCAAGCAATTCGATATAAGTTACACATGTGTAGCCATGCAAAACACTTCCATATTAGCCATGTTGTGAAAAAAAAAAACATACCAAAAAAACCAAAACACAAACACCTCAAAAAAAAAGAAAGAAAGTAAAAAAGTCTGCTTCAAAGTCTGCTGTATTCAAACACCATCATTTCCTTCTCCAGGGATGAACAGCATTTTTTATCATACATCCTTGAGAGCTGTTTTGGTTTGATAACTGTATTCCACTATAATTGGCTCCCATTGCAATCCTATGCATTTTATTTTAAGCATTTAAAAACCTTATTGTTTTGTGGGGGTTTTTTCGGTCTGTGTTTTCTTTCACAACATGACTAATAGGGAAACACATTTGGCATCACTGATTGTACATGTATAACATATGTCAGACTGCTTACTGTCCCAAGGAAGGAGAGAGAAAATTTGGAACTCTAAATTTTAAAAAATTAATGTTAAAAATTGTTTTTACATGTAACTGGAAAAAATATTATCCAAAAAAATTTATTCTGAGAGAGGGTTCCCCTCAGCTCCAGCACACTGCCAGAGGGGTCTATGACATACAAAAGGCAAAGAAACCCCTTGTAATAGAAAGTTCTGGTCCGTTTTCCTTTTAGAATGTAAGCTCTCTGAGGGCAGGGCCTGTTTCATGTTTATCTTGGCATCATCAGAGCCTGGAACTTCATGGGTATTCAATAAATGCTTGCTGATTGAATGACTGACTGGTCAGACCACTTGTACTGACCCTTCTCCCTGAGCCCGTTTCTTCATCCGTGAAATGAGGAGTCTGGATCTCAGACTTAGAACCAGAAGGACCCCTGGCCAACGCGCTCCATCCCTCCTCGGAGCCCCATGTGCTCCACCCCAATACCTAGCACAGGGAACTGCATACAGTAGGAGTTTAATAGATGTTCGGGGCATTGAATGAAGCATTTAATTAAGTACTTACTATATGCCAATATAGTACAGTGTGGGGCTTTGGAGACCTCAAAACTTTCCAATTTTCCCCAAGTGGATTCAAAGCTGTCTGTGTCAATGAAAAAAGCTTCAATGTGCCTCCCTCCCTCTGACCAAAGTATTAAGTGTGACAATTAAATGAAGCCAGGTCAGGTAACAGGAGCAAAGAACACGGCAGATTAAAGCCGGGCGCACAGTAGGCACCTTGTGAGTGAAGGATCGCTTGATTAAAACTCGCACCCCCGGAAGCAGGGACCAAGAGGCACAAAGCCTTGGGGGAAGGAAGGCAGTTCTATCTGGAGGAGGTCGGGACCTGAGCTGCCTTCCAAGCAGACCTCCAGATTAATGGAAAATGGCCCAGCCCCCCCAGGGGAAGCTGGTACTGGAGATGATGAGAGTGGTAATGAGACCAGGCCGAGAATAGCGGACGCTCCATCCGCGGCTCGTGGAGAAGGGGTCATCACTTACTCGGCGGTGCTGGTCAGCTCCTGTACCACGTGGGCCGAGTGCAGCAGGCCTTCCCGCTTCTGAAAGAGCCCAAAGCCAGGAAGTGAAGCCGGCTGCCTCAAGGGAGGCCCACCTCCAGCCGGCAGCCCTCCCATGCGGTCCTTCCTCAGGATTCACATGTCTCTAGAAGGCCCCGCTTAGAACCTGGAAGGGGCGACCGTCCTTTCCCCAATCCCTCCTTAAGCAGCCTGGCAGGGAGGAGAAGGGGCTGGAAAGGGGATCTGAGCGAGGGGCCCAGCTGTCCTTGTTCACCGGTCAGTTTACAGGTCAGCCAGGCCCCAGGGCCAGAGCCTGAGGGAACAGGACAGAGCTGGGACGGATCAGACGGGGAATGGGGACCAGGAGGACGGGGAGGGGCGCTGTGCCCAAGGTGGGGCGGGATGCTGGGAATCTCAGAGCATCAGCCCTGAATGGAACCCCAGAGACCCCCCAGAGCTCGGTGACTAGAGATGGAGAACAGAGGCCCCGCGGGAAAGGGACAAGCCCAGGGCCACTCAGCGAGGGCCAGGGCTGGGAGGTGCTGAGCCCAGGGACTCCCACCACTCCTAGTGAAAGCTGCTTGGGGCAGGCCCTGGAGGGACCATCTGGGGACACCGGCCCAGAGACAAACGCCCGGCAGGCTCATTTCAAATGCGGAAAACTGTGAGCTTTCTTTCTGCCAAGGGCTGGCTCAGCTTCACCCTCATGGGCGCCAGGGAGCCCCTTCTAACCAAAACCAGAGAGAGAGAGAGGGAAAAGCAGCTGAGGAAAACAAACCACAGATCAACTCTACCCAGAGGTCTATGCTGTGCTCCGCACCCATGGCCCCCCACCTCTACAAAGGCAAGGCGGGGCCTTTCACCGACTCTCACTTCCTATGTTCTAATCCCAGCAGTCGGTGAACTGGTCTTCTCAGTTCTGAGCTGAAGGCAGCAGACTAGTTGGGCTCTTACATGCAGTAGGCGCACAGTAAGTGCCTCTTGGCTAAAATGAGAAAAAATACACTCACTCACTCACACACACACACACACACACTCTCATATGCATTCACACTCACTCATATGCACTCACATACATTGTCTCACTCTCACATGCACTCTCACACACACACTCAAATACTCTTGCACACCCTCTCACATGCACTCATATACACTCACTCTCACACTCTTGCACACTCACATATGCACACTCACATGCACTCACACACACACTCACCCATACCTAGTCTCACACAGACTCATATTCTTGCACACTCACACCTGCACACTCACACATTCTTGCGCACTCACACACATGCACATACATGCACTCAAATGCATATACTCACACCTACATACTCTTACACGAGTACTAACACTCCTGCACACTCACACACACACTCACCTACATACTCCCACACACTCACTCCTGCACACTCACATACAACACACACTCATATGCACTCATATACACTCTCACACCTACATACTCTCACACACATACACTCTTGCACATGCAACACACTCACATGCACTCACTCTCACACCTACAAAAGCTCACACGCACTCACACGCTCTTGCACACTCACACACAGACACATACACAGCCCTCCATCTTGAAGGCCAGGCTTCCTCCATCACCCATCTGCTGCTTCATCCAAAGAAGACTGAGCCTGAACCGCTGGGAGTCAAGAAAGCCTGGTGGGGAGAGCGCAGCGAGCGAGTCTCGAAGCTTTTGTTTTGCTGGGTCTCTCGGCCCTGCCTGCAAACTTCTCTGCTGAGTGATAAGCGTATTTAGGAACTGAATATTGAATTCTGCCACACTGGCTGTAGAGGGAGATGAATGTGCCTTTTGAAAGAAAATCTTGGGAATGAAACCTGAAAGCTCCAGGAGCCTCTGGGCGCGCCTTTCCTTCGAACACGCCATTGTTTCTCATTTCCATCATTTATCTCAAATCCGGGGTGAGCTATAAATTCCATCAAAAAGAAAAACAGAACAGGGCCTCTCAGGAGAAAAAAGGAGAATTATGAGCCAGGGAGCCTGCCCAAGCCGGCCCGACGGATGAGAAAAGCGGGACGCGGGACAGTGTTACTTACTCTAACAACCACCACCTGCACAGAGACGTGCTCGGGGAGCCGGATGGGGGCTCGGAAGTGTATGGCCAGGGCAACCAGGAGATGAAGGATCGCCACAAGGTTCTTCCCATGGATTGCTACAGAGGGGAGAGGAAAGGAAGGCGCGTTTGCACAATATTACACTAAAAAATGATGCAGTTTGGAGGGGAGAGGAGGCAATGATAAGGAAGCAGCAAGGTATAGTAAATAGAACACTGGGCTTGGATTCGAATTCTGGCTCCTTCTGGGTGATTCTGAGCACGACACCTCAACTCTGGGTCCCAGGTTCCTCCTCTGTAAAATGAAGGCATTTGACCTCTGAGGTCCTTTCGGATTCTACATCTATGGCTCTCTGAGCCTGAGTCAAGAGAGCTGGGTTCGAGCCCCACCACTACTAATTACCTCCCATGGGATGATGAGTAAGCTATTGAACCTCTCTGCTCATCAGTTTCTCATTGTAAACTAGATGAGGTTACACGGTACACCTTGAAGCTAGACTGGGAATTTCAGCGCCGCTCCAAAGGGCAAGACGGGAAATGAGATGGGGCCAGGCTGCCCGGTGATCCGAGCCGTCTGGCCCCCTGCCCTCTGCTCTGCCTCCTGGGCCCTAGGCTCTGGCCGGTGAGCTTGTGCCTTCTGCCTGGAACCAGGCCTCCGAGCCGCCTTCCGTCCACACTGTATCGTCCCCTGGCCTCTTTATGTGCTGTCTTCCCTCATTAGAATGTGAACTTCTCGAGGGCAGGGACTGCCTCGCTTGCTTGTATGTGTAACCGAGCCCTTAGTAAGGTGCCCATTTCGCTGATTCACGATCTTTAAGGGCCCCCCAGCTCTATGTCTGCCCGGGAGAGGAGAACTGGGGTCCAGGACATCCCCCCCTCTTCCACCGACAAATCCAAGCTCTCCACAGCCCAGGAGATGGTCTTCAGGAACAAGTGAGCCAGATGGGGCCAGGCCCCGGCCTCCCCCTCACTTCGCCAGCCAGGCCAGCCGCAGCTCTGACGTCAGGCAGGTTGTCGAGTGGGAAAACATCCGTATTAAAATGAATTATCTCTGCCATCATAGACAGAAGCACGTCGCCGCTTCCACGCCACAGCTGTGAGCGCCTGCTGCAACGGCAGCCTTCGGACCAGAGGAGGTGAGGGGTGAGCTCTGCTTTCAGGTTTGTGCTGACAGGGAACACCTGCTTTGGTTAATTAAGTTTCTATTCGCTCTCACTTAGCAGGGAGGCTTGCTGCTGTCAAAAAAGCCCTCCAGAAAACACCTAATGAGAATTACCTCCCGCTCCCAAGAAGACTAGATGGGAAGGGGGAGAAAGGAGCCGGAGGTTCCCAGAGGGCTCTGGAATGGAGGGTGGAGCCAGGGCAGGTGCAGAGAGGGCCAGGAAGAAGTGAGGAGAGGGGGAAGGGGGAAGGGGGAAGGAGGGAGGAAAACTTACTGCGCCCACAACTCGGCGGGACAAAAAGTGCAACGTGATGGAGCAAGGGGACAGACAAGGGATAGGGGAGAGAGCGGGAGCTCCAGAGGGAAAGGACCATCTCTTACGCTTAGCACCAAGTCTCTGAACTCTACAGGCCTCTGCTCCCTCATATATGAAACGAGGAGGCTGATGCTCTGATGCCCACTGTCTGAATGACCTTGGACGTGTCCCTTTCCCTCCCTCAGCTTCAGTTTCCTCCTCTATAAAATGAGGGGATTGGACCAGACAGATGCCTCGGAGGTGCCTCCTTGCTCCAGAACCAAGATCTTGGGGCGACGGTCCCATGGAACTCTTCCATTTGGAACCTCAGAGCTGGAGGGGACTTTTGAGGTCACCCAGTCCAGAGGCCCAATCGGGCCTCTTCCTGCTGATTTAAATCCTGAATTATTCTGCTTAATACCATAAACACACAAGCTGTACAACACGCTTCCCAACGATTGGCTCTGGGGGATTACCCAGACCACTGGTTCCCCTCCATTCGGGCAGATAATCCACTGTTGACTATGCTGTCTTTGGGGGAGTCAGATTATGTCTAAGGAAAAGGCCTATGGGGGCAGAGTCTTATCCATCCCACTCAGCTGCCCACGGCTGCCATCTTGACTGCCCCACCTCCGAGGGTATGAACTACTCACAGTCCACATTCCATTTGATAGCCCAGCCATGGGGCCGCAGGATGTCGTAAACCGCCTCCAGGATGGTCTGCAGCTTTTGTTTCTGGCCTATCTCTGACTGCGTCACCTCAGCCACATTTAGCTTGCGGTCGGCTAACTTTTCTGCAGGGAGGACGAAGGATAAAAGGCAAAGTCAGGCGAGGGGTATGGCTGAATGGGTCTGAGAACCCAACTAGTCAGAGCCTCCCCACAGCTCCCCAAGGCAAAGGGGAGATCTGGAGTCATAGGAATTCTCAAAGAGCAGGGCCCATAGCCAATGATTAATAAATACTTTTTTGTTCATTCATTCATTCATCCATCCACCCATCCATCTATCCATTCATTCATTCATTCATCCATCTACCCATCCATCTATCCATCCAT